CCGGATCTCAAGATTTTCAGAAAACCTGGCAAACCCATCTCCGTTGCCCTTTCCAAAACAACCGCCTTCACAAACTATGAGGAAGAATAAATAGCACTAAATTATCATTTATGCACAGCTTTTATGACCATTTTATGCCAATCTCCTGATTTTGTTTTGTTATCTGCCAGAGAGATATTTTAAACATGTTGCTGCCTACCCTTGTATTTGGCTGACATGCTTTTTTTTGGGGGGGGGGGCATATTTGAAAAGGTAGCAGGTGGGTTTTATAAGTGATCAAAGCTGGGAGGGGGGGGAGAACAGGCCATTCCCTGTGCATGTGCCCCACGCTGGCTCCCGAAGCTGTTTGATCGGCCAGCTTCTCTGTATGTGAATAGCTTTTCCCCCTCCCTCCACTTTAAAATCTCTACCTGCTCTTGCAGCTGAGCGGAAAGGTCAGTTCCATTTCAAGGCTGTTCAAACAGAGATTGAATCATTTAGTAGTGACTCATGTGAAAATTAAGTTGATGCAAATGTTAATTTGACAACCTGGCAATGGGGAGACAGCTGCAGCCAGATCAGTGCCAGTGTGAGCTACCCAGCTGCTGGTTCAATCCTGGCTCCCCCCGGTTGGCATTGGGAGGTCTCCTGAAGCAGGCGAGGTTGCCTTCCACTCTGCCCTCTGGGGTGGAAGACAGATCTCACCTCCGTGGCCACAAAATCTGGAGCCTTCTTGTGAAGGTCACTCTCATGATCCATCGGGTCTAAGAAGATGATGAGTGTCTCCAGGTAAATTCTGCAGGATGCACTCCTCGAGTGCTCAGTTGGGTGTTTCTTTAGACCGGTGGTTCTCAACCTTGAGACCTCAGATGTTCTTGGACTACAACTCCCAGAAATCCTGGCCAGCACAACTAATGATGAAGGCGTCTGGGAGTTTTAGTCCAAGGACATCTGGAATCACTGCTTTAGACATCTGAAGGAGCCTAAAGACTGCTTATCAGGTTTGGGTCCATTAGCTACCTTTTTTCCCCCCAGCGGGTGCTCCTGTGACCTCCATGCTCACCGAGCGGCATTGCCTGATTGCAACCCTGTGTACATTGTAGTGCAGAATGAACTTGAATATTCGGGGGGGGGGGGGCTGAAAGACTGCTGAGCTCTGCACAAAACATACCGTGACATAATCTCAGAAAACAAAGCTGTCGAGCAGATCAGCTGAATGATGGTTGAGATGTCCTTTACTTGGCAGGGAAGAGGCGAAGGGACGATTTTAGAGCTGAGTCAGGAACATGATGCATGGACATGTTGACAGGTTACATCTTTTCATTCTGTATGTTTTTGTTGAAATCTTTTTGTGCCAGAGTGCTTTTCCTTTTAAAGCACACCTTCCTACTTCCTGTTCACAAAGGAATTTTTGGATCCTAATAGGCATGCTTTGCAGATTTATGCAGTATTCCATTTATGGGATCATATGAATTTATGTGGACTCTGGTCTGATGAAAGGGACTGTGGTTGATAAAACCTGCATTGAGCTGTGTACATTTTTTGGGGGGGGCAGGATATAGCTGAAGATTATCCATGTAGTAAAAGACATTATCTTGGGATGGTGTTCCTCTTCTGCATCCTTCTCTGTTGAACAGAAGAAACTGGGATTCGTTGTTCTTTTGCATGTCCAAGTAACTTCCAACCTATTTGATATCGCCTTCAACTTTTCCTCATGTAATTGTCTTCTCCAATGAATTTTGTGTTCTCATGATGTGCCGAAAGTATGGTAGCCTCTGG